ATAGTTATATGAATCAAAGTGTACCCTTGAGACCACTCCTTCCAGTCATAAAGATATCTTTTAAGTTTTCTTTCCATATTATTCTTATATTTAAAAAAAATTTCCCCCCGTATTACTGTGCAGGTCTCAGATCTAAGGAACTCTTGAACTACGGTTGCATTCTTCAAAGCTATGAACAAAGTTCTAGGCAATTTGTAAGGATTGCTGTTTCATGAGTGCACTATCTACATATTCTTGGAGTGACACTAATCCTACTTAATCTTGGGGATTAACTTGCTAAAACTAGTAGAAAAGCCAGTAGTATTTTGAAACAGGTCAAGGGAGATACTCTTGTCAGGTTGCTAATGGTCTATCAGCAAATATTTAAATCATTAAAATTCTAAATTCATTAATACATGCTTACCAGTAAAAACTTAAAAGAAATGTATATGCATATAAAGTCCCAAAGTACAAGACACATAGCGTTATTTTACCATTATAATAATTTGCACTAGTATTTCCAAATAGGTCTCTAAATATTTGTTACTTAAATCTAGGATTTCTTCTTTTAAACCGACTATCCCAAGACTACCTTCTAGGGGCAAGACTTGTTAACAACCTGCAATGTGCAGATGACACAACTTTTCTTGCTGAAAGCAAAGAAGACTTAAAGAACTTACTGATGAAAGTCAAAGACTTCAGTATGGATTACACCTCAACACAAACAAAACAAAAATCCTCACAACTGGACCAATAAGCTAGATCATGATAAATGAAAAAAAGATTGACGTTATCAAGGATATCATTTTACTTGATCTAAAATCAACGTCCATAGAAGCAGCAGTTAAGAAATCTGCTGCAAAAGACTTCTTTAAAGTGTTAAAAAGTAAAAATGTCACCTTGAAAACTAAGGTGTGCCTACCTAAACCATGGTATTTTCAACTGCTTCACATGTACATGAAGGCTGGACAACGAGTAAGGAAGATAGAAGAATCTGAAGCATTTGAATGATGGTGTTGGCAAAGAATACTGAATGTATCATGGACTGCCAGAAGAACAAACAAACCTGTCTTGGAAGAAGTACAGCAGACTGCTCCTTAGAAGCTGGGATGGCAAGACTTCCCCTCACATATTTTGGGCATGTTATCAGGAATGATCAGTCCTGGGAAAAGGACATCATGCTTGGTAAAGTAGAAGGTCACCAAAAAAAAGAAGACCCTTAACGAGATGGACTGGCAGTGACTGAAACAATGGGCTCAAACATAGCAGTGATTGTGAGGATGGTGCAGGACTAGGCACTGTTTCCTTTTGTTGTACATAGAGTCACTATAGCATACTGCCTAAAGCACTTGACTGCTAACCAGGAGGCTGGCGGTTCAAACCCACCAGCCACTCCTCGGAAGGAAGGTTGGGCAATCCTACTTCCGTAGTGATA